GTGTGTACTGTGTGTTATGTGATAAAGCAGGTCACAAACCCAGGCTCCTACTGAATTTTGAAATGTGGCCTGGTACTGAATCTTGCTCCCTTAGTCCTACACATTCTTTAATAAGATATCTAGTTTCCCTCTGTCTCCTATGCTGTGTGTGCATCTTCAAGTCCCCTGTCGACTTATATCGATCCCATGGGTCTTCCTAGGCAAGGAATGCTCAGGTTGCATCTGCACTGTAGAAATAATCCAGGTTGACATCACTTTAACTGCCCTGACTCAATGCTATGGAATTATTGGATTGTAGTTTGTTGCGGCACTCTCTGACAGAGAAAGTTAAATGTCTTACAAAACTACAATTCCCAGAATTCCACAGCATTGAGCCAGGGCAGTTAAAGTGGTGTCAATCTGGATTTTTTCTGTAGTGTGGATGCAGCCTCAGAGGTGGTTTCGTCGGGTCTTTCCTCCATAATTATAGCCCGCACAGCAGGGTTAGCCTTGGTTACTACTTGGAAGGGAGATGACCAACAAATGCTTCTGTTAAGTAGCTGAAACAGTTGGTCTGATTGTTGAGCTCTTGTTTTTCTGGAGAAAAACACCCCTTTTATAATTTATTTATTGTATTTATTTATATCCTGACATTTTTCCTAGACTAGGACTCAAGGCGTCTTACAACACTTTGTTGTTGTTGTTGTTGTTGTTGTGTGCTTTCAAATCATTTCTGACTTACTCCAAGTTGAACCTACTGGATGACCCTGGGCAAGTCACACACTCTCAGCCCCAGAGGAAGGCAATGGCAATTTCCTGTGAAGAAATCTTGCCAAGAAAACCACATGATAGGATTGCCGCAAGTCAAAAATGACTTGAAGGCGCACACAACAATAAAGGTGAACATATCCTGGGGTTTTCTTGGCAAGTTGTTTGAGAGGGGGTTTGCCATTGACATCTTCTAAGGCTGAGAGAGTGTGACTAGCCCAAGGTCACCCAGTGGGTTTCATGGCTGAGCTGTGATTCGTATCCTGGTCTCCAGAATTCAGCACTCAAACCATGACACCACATCAGCCCTTTACAACAATTAAACCTAGTTAAATTTTTGAAATGTAATTTTACATAAAATTAAAACTAGAAGAGCTTGTTTGCTCTCCCCTGGTGGAGCACAGATCACCCATCCACCCTCCCTGCCAAGTTGGGCTTGGTCCAAGAAAACCTTCTGATCAGGGTGACTAGATGTCCTCCTTTTTGAGGACACATCCCACATTTCAACCTTTGGTCCAGGAGGAATTCCAAAAGGTCCTCCATTTGAAGCATGACCAAGGTCCAAAATGCATCTGGTCACCCTGCACTCATATC